TCTGCAGGAAGTGTTACAGCTAGCTGCTAGCTCTGTGGTGTGAGTATCTACAGGAAGTGCTACAGCTAGCTGCTAGCTCTGTGGTGTGAGTATCTAGAGGAAGTGCTACAGCTAGCTGCTAGCTCTGTGGTGTATCTAGAGGAAGTGCTACAGCTAGCTGCTAGCTCTGTGGTGTGAGTATCTACAGGAAGTGCTACAGCTAGCTGCTAGCTCTGTGGTGTGAGTATCTACAGGAAGTGCTACAGCTAGCTGCTAGCTCTGTGGTGTGAGTATCTAAAGGAAGTGCTACAGCTAGCTGCTAGCTCTGTGGTGTGAGTATCTGCAGGAAGTGCTACAGCTAGCTGCAGCCATAACCAGTCACATGATCCCACCTCTGTTGGCACATTCTCACGATGGCCGCCCTGATTTAAAGTTTATTTTTGGTTTGTGTATTTGTTGGTTGGTTTTGTTAGTTTAATTGTTTGTGTTGTTGTGTGTTGTGTGTGTGTCCTGACTCGCAGCCTGTGTTGTGTGTCCTCAGGGTGGACGGTGAGGTGAAGCACTGCATCATCTTCAGCACACCTGGAGGTCTGGGCTTCTCTGAGCCCTACAACCTGTACAGCAGCCTGAAGGACCTGGTGCTCCACTACCGGACCACCTCGCTGCTGCAGCACAACGACTCGCTCAACGTGCGCCTGGCCTTCCCCGTTCACTCGCTCAGATGAGCCCCGCCCACAGAAGAAAAGGGGTGGAGCTTAACCCCAACAAACCAGACAGACAGTGAAGTGTTGCTGCATCTATTTTTACAGAAACTCTTTCAGAGGGCATTCTTTATAAAGACTGCTTGATTTGCACAAGAACCTTTAAATGWTTGTGAATGTGGGAAAAAATGTGACGAAGGAAAGAAACGGAGGAGGAGGAGTTTCAGGTTGACCCCGCCCCCCGCTGCTACCCAAACCCAGCTCTGACTTTTCACACAAACGTTCCTGTTTCAACTGTTTCTGTTGATAAATGTAGCGAAACGAGACGCTGCTGCTGAGGGAGGGCACCATGATAA